CAAACATATGAAAATGCAAAACTATTGTTAATCCTTTAACATTTTCTTATCCTTTTATATTTTTTTCCATTTATTCATATCCATGAATTAACATAGAGGAAAAAGCACAATAACTGCTAGTGAGGATGCTGGATGGCAAAGTAGAGGAAGTGGCCATTCATATAGTAGTTTGTCTGGTATGTATGTACGGTACACATTTTTCAGAAATTCTTGAAACTTAAAATATGACTGAATGAAAGCAGTAAAGAAACACAAGCACACAGACAAATAAACAGTTAATATTAAACAAACAAAGACTGGTAAGAGCAAATATCAACAACCTAATTATTTTTATTCAATATTTTATAATCAAAGGGCACGCAACTGTGGTAGGATTAGAAACTGGTAAAGTAATTGCCTATGAGACAAGGATAAAATCATGTCGAGTCTGTGAATATGCCAAAACAAAAGGTTAGAATTCATATTAKATTGCCAAATGTGATATATTTTCAAAAAGCTCACATTCCCATGTGTTTGCTTTCACTATTTTGCACTACTTATGTTGCATACACTTAGTGTTTGTACTATGTCATGATGTAATTTTAATACAGTATCTATCTTAATATGCTAAACCAGGTCTTCCTAAAACCAGACCACATTCTTGTYGCAAAAACTGGACCGGGTCATCAAAAGCTATGGAGGCAGACATGGTTGTTTCTATGGTCAAGAACATAAATAAATCAAAGGTAATTGGTTGGTATATATTAAGCTTGTTACTCAATAGTGACAYAAGAATGATGATAATTTATGTTTATGATTATCATCCTTATGTTGCTAGTGAGCACCAAGCCCTAATTATCTAGATCTTTAACTAAATTAATCCTTTTGGATAGTATAATTAAATTCTTATATTTACACAGACCTCAGGCGATGATGGTGATGAAGACCCTGACATGAACAAGAACATAGATGATTCAAAGGTACTTAGTTTGATTTGATTTAGCTCACAAAAGATGTTACTAAATAAACTTTTTTATGGATGGGAAGTTATCCTTTTGGATAGTATAATTAAATTCTTATATTTACACAGACCTCAGGCGATGATGGTGATGAAGACCCTGACATGAACAAGAACATAAATGATTCCAAGGTACTTTAGTTTGATTTAGCTCACAAAAGATGTTACTAAATAAACTTTTTTATGGATTGGGAAGTATAACAGATTCTAATTACACAGATATCAGGTAATGAAGGTGATAAAGACCCTGGCATGATTGAGAACATAGACGATTCAAAGGTACTTAGTTTGGTATGCRTTAGCTYAATAAAGATGTAACTGAATAAACCATTTTTATAATGGAAAGTATTATTGAATTCCTATTWCACATACCTCATGCAAAAATATTGATGAAGATTCCAACATGATCAAGGCGATACAYATGTATAATACAAATTACTTCAATTGCGATCTGYGTTTATTTGAATCATCATCATTAACATTAATCATTATAATTGGATTCTTATCACACAGATTACCATTGGTGCTATTGTAGGCGATGAAGATACAACCATCACTGCWAGACTTAGAAAGGAAGTCAGCRAAGACATTGAAAAGCAATCTGATGGAAACCACATCAAGAAAATATTAGGTTCTCAGTTGTTTTCTTTGAAAGAGAAACACAAGCTATCAGTCAAAACTATAAAGTATCTTCAAAGGCTCTTCACATATATGGTAAAACAGAAYGCTGGAAACCCAGAAGCAATAACCAGAGATCTTGATGCCTTGCACAAGCATCCATTTGATGATCATTCTGCATGTGGTTCATGGTGCCATCATAAAAATGGTAAAAAAAAGAAATATCCTTCTCTGCCTTATGGAAGACCCCTAGAAGATAGTGGTTTGCAAGAAAGTTTGGAARCCATTTTCATCAAGTACAAATCCCAAGCAAAGAAACTAGCAAACATGAAATCAACTCAAGCCAATGAAAATTTGAATGGTATTGTTAGTACTAAGGCCCCAAAGAGACAACATTATTCTGGATCAGAAAGCTTAGACTACAGGGTTAGTGCATCCATCTGTCAAAAGAACACTGGATATGATTACCTAGTAGAGGTAAGCATTGYGAAGACAGTACAAACATTATTGCCTTTTAATTTACTGACCCTATAAATGGTGAGATAGAGTTGTAATCCCAAAATGTATTTTACATACAGGTCAACAAGAAAACTGGACTTTCTCCAGGATGTAATACTAGAAAACGTGCAAAATATCTCAATACCTTTATGAAAAGAAACAAATCAAGAAAATCATCTAGAGCAGTAAAGCTTGAACTAAAGGCCAAGAAACTATCATGCAATCAATCAAATGAAATACGGGAAGGTGATACTTATTCAACAAGTATAGACTTAGTAACAGGTAAAATGTTGGTAACAAGCATAATTTTTGGTATGCTGTTAGTTATTCATGTTTTTAATATGATCTTTTGCACCATCAACTGTATCAGCAACATGACAGGGGCATAACAATAGGTTATTTTCTMTCTGGGAAATTGAATGTAAACCAGGTTCAACTGTTCCTGCTCCYTGTCATGGCTGCCATCAAGTGATGGTGCAAAGCACCTCTGTACAGAGTGAAGCCCAGAAATAGCATTCATACAGATTTATACGGAAATGAAATCACAGACATCTGAGCTTACTGCTATAGATAAGTTTCCTCTTCTAATGTGGTGTACTGCCTATGTCCTATACTATAATGAATTGATGTTTCCTATTTAAATGACAGAAGATCAAGATGTTTACCAAATACCCRAACCAGTAATGAAACCTAAAGCTGAATCTATAAAAGACATTCCTTGCTCAAGCTTCGTTTTTGATATTGAGACAACAGGACTAGGTAAGTCTATTTAAAAAAAAAGTAATTTAGATTACCYGAGGCCCAATAGTAACAGTATTATTTTCTCTTTAGGAAGAAAGAGYCATATCACACAGATAGCAGCAGTTGCACGTCACTCAAGCAAATCATTCAATTGTTATGTTCTCCCAAAAATACCCATTCAAAAAAAAGCATCTGAGGTGACAGGCTTGAAATGCATAAATGGTCAACTATTCCACAATAATCAGCTGGTGAATGCTGTACCAATAAAAGAAGCATTAAAGATGTTCACCAATTTCCTTGGGGAAGACCCTGTCCTGCTCATAGGCCACAATATAAAAGTCTTCGACTGCCATGTTCTTGTCAATGCTGCAAAATCTTGTAATATGTTTGGAAATTTGGAACAAGCAGTTGCAGGTTTCCTGGATACGCTTCCACTGTTCAAGGATACACATGTCGGTTTGCAGTCATATAAACAAGAGAGTCTGTACAATCATGTAACTGGAAAGACATATCACTCACACAATGCTCTTTGTGATGTAGAAGCACTGAAAGAGCTGATGGACATTGCTTCCTTGCAATCTAATACTTTGCAGAAATTTTCCTTCAATTCCAAGTATATTAAGGATTCCATGATTTTCTTTGAGCAGAGAGACAAGAATTTGAGGTCCTGGTATCCAATGATAGAAGGCAAATTTGTCAGCAAAGGGATGGCTGCAAAGGCTGCTGGTAGTGGTCTCACCTTATACCATTTGAAATTGGCMCACAGAAGAAGGGGAATCGATGGGTTGGAATCCCTTCTTTCTGAAAGAACACAGCAAGGAAGAGTTAGAGTTACTAAGAACTTAACAATCGTTGAAAAAATAGCGTCTTATTTTGATAGATAATAAGCTAAACTACATGTATAAGATTACGACGTAAAAATATTTTATTGAACATGCTTATATTCGTTCATATCACCAACCCAACTTAGTCCCTAATATCACAGAATTTAGCTATGATTTTCCAAACACAGCAATCTCGAAAATATAAGTTTTGTATCTCGTATTAGTAAATAATAACAACTTTATTTACGGAGGGTAGCACTATAAAATAGTGTGCGAAACTAAACAAACTTGTGGCCTTCCGTACTTGTAAGCTTATGATAGGCTTATACTTATTAACTTTCAAATGATAAAAAAATCCACTAACCTTCTCTGTAAATAAAATCCARGTGACTTCAACAGCATTCATGATCATGAAAACTCATCTTTCATACTTCAAAATGAAATCGAAAGCAAGCTTTTCAACATGTCCGAACGTTTGACACACGTGACGCACCGATATAAACCTCTCTCTTATTGGTTCACATTACYCAATAAAAATCATTCTTATATTCAAACTACCATCATTCAAAGCGCGCTTTGTAATTCCAAGATGGCGGTATTTCCGGTTGACACTTTTCGCACTTTCTAGGGCGTAAAACCCCTCATTTTTGCACGGGACCCTATGATTTTTAAGTGCACATTTGAAAAAGCATCTAAAAATCTACCTCATATCAATTTTTCTAGAAAAGTTGGTCTCAAAAGTGAGTACAAAATCAAACACAAAAGCCTACAAAAATCTTATTTTTCATATGTTCCACATTTAAACTTCAACCCCACCGAAAGGACGAAATATGGAGAATACAGGTATTTATTTGTCTCTTCGTCAAGTACATTTATTAAATGCTGTAAAATGGTTCACTTGCAATCATTTGTGCATTTATTTAGTTTGCATAAAGCTATAATTTTATGCTTATTGATTTTTATTCTAATCACTTCCGGTGGCGTAATTTTTGCTTCAAAAA